GAATGGCCAGAGGGATACAAAGCAAAAGGAAGGTATCACGCGTTTGGGGGGGCGAGCCTAAACAAGTTTTTCTTTTCTTCCAAATGAACAAGGGGCATTTCAGACATTTAACACACATTTCATAATTGCAATTTGGGACCGGGTCCTCTGCAACTATTTTTCAAATTTAGGGTCCCTAATCGCTATTTTATATATTGAGGGGTCTTTATTTGTAATTTCTCCTTCTTATAATAACTTAAATACATTTCCTACACTGACATATTACTAGATATTATATTTCTTCTTTTCTTTTTTCTTTTTCTTTAACTACCAACTACATCTCCATACTTACGCCATGCTGATTTTTTTTTTTCCATTTTAATCTTCATACTTAGTTATGATTTATATTTACACACACAGTTATGCTTTCCACCTTTATATTTTAACCACTTCCTCCCCTCTTATATCCCTTTATCCATGCTAAATTTATTATTACTATATTCACCTTTTCTTTTTATAGCTTTAATCCACCACATCTACGCTTAACCGCATAATGTAACACCACATCTTACACACCAATCTTACATATTTTATTCATATCTTTATCTCTTATTTTTAATTCAGTTTTTTCACACTAGTACACCCAATGTCATACATACAATTTCACGTTCCAAATTTTACTTTCTACTTTGTGTTTTCTTCACTATACGTTTTACGCTCTTAATTTATGATCATTAACTACAATGTATGTTATACAATTAATATTAATTTTAAATACTTATTATATGCACATGTTAGAAAACATTTCTGTTACATACATTCACATTACTTCACGACTTTCGCTATATACAACAACACTCACAACTTGTTATTCACAACCCAATAACTTTTCTCTCCACGCGTTACACAACCACAACACCAATGATTTCTTCAACCCCTCTTATATAAGTGTTTCACGTATATAGGATTCAAATTTTTTTCTACTACAATTTACCAACTTTTTTTTTCACTTCATATTTATTTATTTATTTTCACTTACAATACGAAAGTTAAAATATTCCCCAGTCCCCACTTTACACACTCCCATGCTACTTTATCTTTTTAATCCTATTATATTTCTAACTTTATTCCCCCGAATGTTGTCCATATCTTTTGAACTCACTAAAATCACACATATTATAAATACACCTTTATTACTTTCTTTTTTTAAGAAAATTCATAATTTACCCAAATAATCCATTGTTTCAATTTGCTAAACTAAACTCTCATTTCTTAACTATTTGGCCATTCATTATTGTCTTTTTCTCATTTATTTATTACCCACTATTAAGATTTAACAATGCATCCTCCAATTGCTCTAAGACTGCATTATCATGATGTAAGTACGCATTACTAATAAAGTCAATCTTTGGGGTTAGCACCCCTTCCCCCCTCCTTTGTAGAATACCACAAGGGTAGAAGAAGTTAAGCGTTAAACTACAAATTACTTTCTATAAATTATGAATGAAAACTAAAAAGGGAAGTGCACATGCTGATATATTTACCTGCCATGACCTCTACGTAATTCATGAAAATAAAGAAAAAAAAATAAAACACAAATGGACACAGAACAATCTAGTTCTGATATAAAAAATGTAACACATCTTCTGCTAACTATACACTTAACATGAAATTAGAGTACTTTTAGTCATAGAGATCCCAAATCAATGTAAAATCTAAGGGCTACGACCTTCATTTCATTTTATTTTATTTTATTTTATTTTATACGTATGTCAAATAATAAGAAAATAATAATAAATGTCCTATGGTCATGGCGAATAATAAATATTCCCAGCATGTGCTCAGGGAGCACAAGAGCCACTAGCTCACTCTTCATATGCCTTCCCTTGCTCTATAAGGTTTGTCTCCTAGAAAATGTTAAATATAGAAAGTGAGTTTAATGTCTCAGTAACCCAAAGTTTAACCATGCACACACAAACAATTATACACAAGCAATCAATATCAGACATATAGACAATTACTGAAATAGCTTAAATAATCATTAGCAGATGATATAATTAATTTCATAAAGATCATAAATATGTCATGTTCATATGCGATGGATGCATTCTCTCTTACTGCTCCATCCAACCTTATTTTGCTGACTAGAACCATAAGCTTATCCATAGTCTGGCCCACGTACACTAGAATGACCAAAGCTACTCTGGTACTTGTGATGTATCCAACCAAAAGTATAGAGCCCAAGCATAGTAGACCATGGCTCCCCTCCTTAAAGAATAAAGCTAGGAGGTGTCATTGTCTCATGCTTCCTCCCTCTAAACCTAGTTAGGTAAGTATTAAGGAACATGGCCCTAAAAAGGCCAACCGCTTTACACAAAGTAAGGACAAACTCACCACTGTTATTAGTCTTAAATGATAATTTCTGTATCAATTATTATTATCTTTTAAAAGTTAAATTTTAATATGTCAATATTTGAAAATTTTTTAATAAAGAAAAAGAATTTCAATATCAACTCTTTTCATTAATGACATTGAATTTAAATAACTGACAAGACACTAAAATTATGGGACTAAAATAAAATATTATATAAAGTCAAAAGACGAAAAATACACTTTTATCCACCTTAGTTACAACATCACTTGTAACAATTTAAAGAGATTTTTTTTTCTTCCAAATAACATGGGATGATGGTCGATATGCATAAACTTGGGGATTGAATCTGGTATTGAAAGGAATGCATTAGTAATTGTTTACATCAATCCATAAGTTGTTGGCAGAAAAACATCAATCCACGAGTTATCCAGATTAAAATGATGTGATGAAGGGGAGAGTTGTTATTATACTGCCACTTCCCCCGGAAAAAAAAAGAAAAAAAAAGATATGATATGAATTACATGTTACTTTGGTACTCAATCAACTCGCAATAACCTAAGGTAGCAGTTGGTTGGAGTTCTTTGAGGAGAGAAGAAGAGATATAAATTTGTCTTTTTCTCCTCCTCTTCCCTCCAAAATAAAAGTTTTTTCTGGGTATCTTGGAGAGAGGGGAATTTTCTACCATATGATGACCAAATTACCCATGGAAACTTATCAATATTCCAACTTTACCTCCTCTTTTTGGCATTTTCACAAATTTCAAAAAATCAAACCGAAAAATGAACTAACCAAAATAGTGGTTCAAAGGTCAATAGGCGATACTAAAGCCAAGTCAGGGTCAAACCGATCATAAATAATATAATTTAATTAAAAAAACAAAATACTCCTCTGGTCCTTAATATAGGACCCAATTCTTGAATTAGTTTTGGTCCTAAATATAAGACCCATTTCTCATATTTATCAATTTTTTCTAAATTACCCCTATGGATACTCCCTCAACCATAATCAAGTAGAAGAGGGAGAGGGGGTATTAAGAAAGATGATTATAATGTTTTAGGAAAAATGTGTCACTTTTTTTATAATTAACTAACTTACCTAACTTCCTTAATCTAATCAAATTAGTTAAATGGGTCTTATATTAAGGACCGGAGAAGTACAACAATAATAATATTACTAGTAACAAAATACTTAAAAATACAACGATAGTTTAATTGTAACAATAACAAAATATAAAAATATTAAGAATGTTCATCTTTATGATTTTTCAATAATTAAAATTTAATAATCATTATTAAAAATTTATTCAAATCTACAGTGACTAAGATATCAAGAGTTGAAAGAAGAAAAATAGCAACATATTTATTCAAACTAGTTTATCACCAATTTGCCCTCTTGTTTGACTGGGTAGCAACAATCTAAACCAGTCCTCGATTTAGACTATGAACCAAACCAGACTTCAAGTTGATTCATCGGTTTCCGATTTTAACGAGCCAGTCCGATCTTCTCTTTTTGTTCCTTACATTTTGACATCTGCGGCTGCTCATCTTCACATGAGTAGCGGCAAAAGGTTTTATTTTTCGGTATTAATTTCGTTTAGAATATTCATTTCGCTCTCTTTCAGTATTTCATCTAATTTTTTGCAATACAAGCCTCATTCGTACCCTGCAACAATCTTTTCAAAGATACTCATACCAACATGAAAATTATTTAATGTTTGATGATTCCCAACCAAATTCCAAATTACTCCTCTACATTAAGGTTTATAGATAATACTCATACCAAAGCCATGTTTTAATAATGTTACATGCTCTCTTTTTCTCTAGCCTAGTTTCTTAATTTTATCATTTTTTTTGGGTTAAAAAGAGATTTTAAAACGCATATTATTATTAATGAGGAAACATATAAACATTAATAAAATCATCCTTTAAAATGTATATATAATATTTCTTGATATACAAGTGAGGTAACATGGTGTCAACATTCAAATAATTTTGATTTAAATATTATTTTTTAAAACTAAAAGAATAAATCTAAATAAAATGACCAAGGCGTATTTTTGTCAACCTGTAATTAGTTCTCCCCTCTCCTCCCCTTTTGAACCAAGAGGGAATTATTAAAACACCTTTGTTCTTTAAGTCCTAAACCTTAAACCCTACATCAAAGAAGACCCATAACCTCGCCTCCCCTGCATCAAACCAAACACACCCTAAGGATCAATTTTGATTGTACGGTAAAGATGCAACTTCATCTTGATCTTATTTCTCAAATATTCCAAGTACCCTAATCTTTTTAGTCATGTAATTTTACTTGTGATCTTCTTTTATGCAGTTTTACCCATGATCTTTTTATTTTGATGCACTAATAAATAAGATTAGCGGTAAAATTGCACCACTAAAAATACTACAGTGCTAGGCACACCTAAAAAAAGGATTAGGGGTAAAATTATATTTTAACCCTACATACTATTAATATCCACTCTTGACATCATTCACAATTCATTTTCTTTTAAAAGCAACAGTTGGCAAGGGGGAAAAAGTAACAATTGCAAACAGTCAACCGCAAGACCTACCATATCAACCTAGATGCCTGTTGAAAAACATGGTTAGCTCCTGAACACTTGGTCCAGTAAGCCCTTACACTAACAATGTAGAAAATACCCTCAAGAATATCAGAGAATAACCCGAGTCACAATAATATTTGTTTCGAAAAGAATCGCAACTTACACTGAAAATCTCAACAAATGAAAAGTTTCCATTTCAAGACGATCAATAGAGTAATATGGTTAAGCAAAACACTGAAAATCTCAACAAATGAAAAGTTTCCATTTCAAGACAATCAATAGAGTAATATGGTTAAGCAAATTCTAGGGAAACCGCCCTGGTACATGCTTTTAATATATAAACTGATGTCTTTCCATCCAACTAAAGATCCAGTTAGGCATATGGTTGTATGTATGAGTTATCAACTTACCAACGGAAAAGCATGACAGCCAGAAAACTCCTTTAATAGGGGTGTTCATTTCACTGTCAAGATCTTGATAACAGATGCAGTGCCCACACGGTGCAGAGCAACAACAGCATCACCATTCTTGCAAAGACCCTTCGTCTTGGCATGTTGAATGGCAAACTCAATAGCTTCTTCTGTTGTCTCATCATTAGAAGCTCTAGCAGATGCCGCACTTAATACAGGAACCAACCCACGGAAGATTAGGCTATGCCTTGCAGGGGACTCATCACTGCAAGACCAGTCAAAAGTATCAGTCTTGATCTCAGGAACAACTACAGAAAGAATAGGCATGCCTGGCCTATATTTAGCCACTAGTTTTGCAGTACTTCCTCCTCTAGTTAAAACCAATATAAGAGCTGCTTTAGCTGAGTTAGCAGTTTTAACAGCCGAAGATGCTAAACTCTCTAATGGGCTCATTGGTACTGGAGAATGTTCCATAATCCTTTTAAATACATCTCCATAGTCTAGGGTGCTTTCTGCTTCAATACATATTTTGGCCATAGTCCGAACTGCAAGTTCTGGATAAGCTCCAGCAGCTGTTTCACCACTAAGCATCACACAATCTGTGCCGTCAAGCACTGCATTGGCAACATCAGTAGCTTCGGCTCTAGTTGGACGGGGAGATTTAATCATCGACTCCAACATTTGTGTTGCAGTCACAACCGGTTTTCCTTGAATGTTGCACTTATAAATCATGACTTTCTGAGCAAGAAATATCTTCTCAATTGGAATTTCCATTCCAAGATCTCCACGTGCAACCATGAATGCATCTGTATTTGCAAGGATGTCATCAAAATTTGCAACCCCTTCTTGGTTTTCAACCTACGAAATGCATTTTGATGTATCAATGACCCGCAAAAAAAGAAACCAATAAAATGATGAGCATAGCATGAACATAGATTGCAAAAATAAATAATTTCTGTCAAGACACTTTCTTACATAGCTGGAGAAAGACACAATAGAGAGTGCAACCACGAGGGGAAGTAATTCACAATTTCATAGAGATCACAGTAACATGCTTATCAGTAGAATCCACTAAGACAATGTAATAAAGGACCATTTAGACAATTAACGCACATTAAGTTCAATGATAATAGCAAAGAATCAAATTCAAAGTTACACAAGGAAACATTCACAAATGCCTTGTGCGTAAGCTCTATGCTCAGCTTAAGTACCACTCATGGCAACCACTATTTGCTTCTTCGTGAAATAACTACTGGCATGTTTGGTTGAATTAGAATACATTTAATCATAATACAAAAGGCTATTTCAAATGTTTGGTCGAGCTAATGTAATGGAAAGAAGATTACATTTTCGCTTGCTAATTCCCACTTCTAAATAGTTACATCAGGATTACACTGTCAAGACTCATGAATGGAGATGCAAACCTCTTATAATAGAGAATAAAAAGACACTATTGCCCTTATAATTTTTCAAATTGACCTTATTTAGACCATCCTTCATTGGACCTCCTACACGTCTACCACCCCACTGACTTCAACGAACCCCCTCACCTTTTTTCATCCTCCTCAAATCTAGCAACCTCAGCTCTTCCATCAAGCAGAGGTCATTATACAATGCCATTGACAAAGCAGCAGTGCCTTCATCATCATCGTCCACTATCAAGAGGAACCTAGATCTACGTCTCCATCTCTATTAGCAATGAGCTCAAATTAGCAATGATCGTCCACATTAGCAATGAAGATTTGCAACGAGGGAGGATGGAGGAGAAGCTAACTGAGATCTGCAATGTTGAACCCACCAGATCTTTCAAGAGTGAGGAGGGAAAAAGTGGTGCTGGGAGATTGATGTTCATGGTGTTGAGATGACAACAAAGACTAAAGAGGAAGAACAGCTTGGATAATGACAAGGAAGAAGTAGGTGAGAGGAAGGGGATGGGATCATTTGTCTCTTTCAACTATAGTATTATTAAATTAAGTATGGAAAGTAAATTTACTTTTACCATTCCTAACACCATACAAAACAAACCCATGATAATCATCATTACATCACATTTTGTTCAATCAACATCACAGTACAATTCAATGCCACATTTTTTAATCTTTGGGACTGGAGTCATTTTTAGCAATATCAATATCCTAGACGCATCATCAAGATGAGCTTTAGCAGATTTACTCATAAACAAAATGATAACACATACTCCTTAGTCCCATTTAAAAGGCATTTCCAACATGTTTCATTGAAATCAACGAAAATCTTAAGCTGCATGGACTCTACTTTAAAATATGACAACCTTCCAACTTTATCTCTATTTAATATATACACCTTTCAAAAATAATAACCATCAACACTATAATAAATGAAGGACAATATAGTATATTTATACTAAAAATTTAATGAACGACTTATAAAAAAGAATCAGAAAAACCTTCTCTTTCTGTCATACAGATAGAACCACGGTGTCAAATCTTGAATGAGACAAGTATGATACAAGCTTTAAATGTCCCTCAATACCAACAATAGGACTATCTTGAGCATATTTAATTTTATAGCAGGCTTTCATATGATTAAAGATCCACACCCTACAGCATTCCAAGATTCTCAAGGAGATCCAAGGCATTCTTCCTTTCAAATATAAGGATCTCTTTCTTTGACTTGACTAGTTCCTTTCCAAGGATGTAATTCAAAATTCTAAAGTCCTTTATTCATTCTCCTTGAGAGCTTGTAGACTTCTTCCTCAAAATATCCATTGAGAAACACGTTTACATACAAGTCGAAAGAAGGCACAAACAAGGTCTATTGGCTTTGATAATAGGACCTTGAATTCATCAAACAAAGCAAGCCTCTATATAGTCAACTCTCATATCTTTAAGTGAAGCCCTTTGCAACCAATCTCATTTCATATCTATTAAATCTTTCATTCCTTTCTCAAAAACCTAACATACAGTTAAAGAGCATGAAGTTGGGAGGAGAAGGGAGGAGAATGGACTAGGTGACAAAATACCTTGGACATGAGAATAATATTCTTCGCATGTTTTCCTAGTAGTTTCCGAACTTCCACCAAGTCTGAACCTTTTCGAACAAAAGAAAGCGCAATCATGTCAATTTTGTTGGGAACTCCCCATTGCAATATATCTTCCTTGTCTTTCTCTGTCAATGTAGGGAGGTCAACTACCACTCCAGGCAGATTAACATTCTTTCTCTCACCAAGAACTGCAGAGTTCTCACAGCGGCATTGAACTAAACCCAAATTTTTGTCACATGATAAGACTGTAAATGAGATTGTTCCATCTGAGCATAATATTACACTGCCAGGCTTCACATCCTCAGCCAACTTTTTGTAGCTCATGCAGATCATATTCTCATCACCTTTTATGCTATAGTCAGTTGATATGGTTATGTCCTGACCTTGTTTCAATTGAATAGGCTTACCATCCTTCAGAAATCCAGTTCGAATCTCTGGGCCCTGCAATGTCAGAGAGAGAACAAAAAATGAGAGATGCCATAGAGTGACTAGTTTGCCTTTATGCATAAAACTTTATGGATGTGTATCGACGCATCTCCTTTCAAACTAAGTATGCAATTGGCATAACATGTTAGCTATTACATGAAGACCAAAGTACTCAAAAGTCAAGAGAGAAAAATTAGTCTCCGGAAATGGTAAACTTCAAACAGTGAAACATACAAGATGGATAACATACCATAATTGAATGCTTTATCCAAAAATTAGTGAATTCTGTAAAACTCTTGAAAAGGGGGGGGGGGGACACAAAAGTAGATGGAGTATATGATAACTTACTTCGGAGTTACAATTTGTAGGATGCTGAGAATTGACGTATTTATAATAGAGAGTTAGTAAAATAACAGATATAATGAATGCCATGTAAAACAACAGAAAAATCATTATGCTGTGCCGTGTTGAATGGATGTTTGATATTACGGGGGCTTTTGATATTACCATCATCTTGATCACGCAATCTCAGGCGACATGCAACATTTAAGGTGTCCATGTTTCTTAGACAATGGGAATCACAAGATAATATGTTTTTTTGGTGGTATCTTATAGCTATTAAAAGCCATAGACCTCCCTACAAAATCATTTTAACTTAACATTTATAAGATATTGTCAGTAAAAATTTTTATTGTCGAATCAAACTCTCAAATATCATTATATTTTGTACCTTTTACACCAAGATAGAGTATTCAATCTATATATATATATATATAAAAGATATTAGTTTATCTAACTGCACTAACAAATTTTTTTGGGACTAAGCTCTGATTTACAATTGTTTTATAGTAAGTTTAGACAAAACGGCATATAAAGATAAAAGCAATAACCCAGAAGTTACAATGGCAGATAACAAATAAGAGGGGGGAAAATGGAGATGATAAGCAAGTTTTCACCCGATGACAAATAAAATTAAAAACAAATGGTAACCAAGTACTAAGAATGAAGCTGAAATACCTTGGTATCAAGCATGACAGCACACAGAATACCAGTGCTTTCCATAGCTGCCCTAAGGTTATCGAGAGTTTCCTGGTGATAGTCATGTGATCCATGGGAGAAGTTGAAGCGAGCGACATTCATGCCTGCACACAGAAGCTTCTCAATCATGGGCACTGACCTGGATGCTGGTCCAAGAGTACAAACAATCTTTGTTTTAGGCTTCTTCTCTATCTTGACCTCTCCGTTCTCGTAAAGAGCCATCTTAGAATATCAATGAAAATGATGCTGAATACGATGAATAAGAGAAGAAATAATTGATTGTCAGCTATGAATCTCTGATTGAAAAAAAACAGCATAAAAAGGAAGCTCCTACCTTTTTACATGGTTTAAACAAATAGCATTTTTAGGTAATTTCAAGTATAGTTAATCAATTAATCAATGTCTTTTTTTATCTCAAATATACCTGAAACCTCTATAAAAATATATCAAAACTACTTATTCCCATTAGAAACAAATGATTAATAATTAATATATTAAAGATGAGCTAAGTTAGAATGCCATGTATTTGAAGTAGAGCTACACTTGGCTAAAGTTCTTTTTCTGTTTAATATAAAGAGAATATTACCTGATAGACTCATGCAAAACCAGCGGAACACTCACACAAATAAAATTTTATATATACAACCATGCACTTACATTTTATAAATGGGACTGATATAAATTATATGGTACATTTTTTTACAAAAAATTATATTTACAGTTATCTTTTGTAAGAGCTTTTGCCACATTTAGAGTTATCTTTTCTATAATATCATTTTTTCAGGAACTTGTCTATAATCTTTTCTATAATATCATTTTTCAGGAACTTGTCTATAATATCATTTTTAAAAAACTATATATTTATAGTTATCTATTGTAAGAGCTTTTGCCACATTTTGTCAAAACTTCTCTGAGAAGTTCGAGAACTTTTATAGTTATACTGAAGAGGAAAAGGACTCGAATAGTCGCAAGGTGATTGATGCCTAGGTTGCTGACATTATTTTTTTTTTTTTCTTTTGCCAGCGGTAGCATTGAAGTTTGAAATATGGTTCTCAGGCCTCAGCCAATAATAATAATAATAAAAAGGAGAAAATTAATCTTTTGATCCTCATATTTTCTCTAAACCGTGAGTGCATAGAGTGCAACTCAATACTGTAGTCTGGCCATCTAAAAATTTATCCCCATATTTTAAAGAATTAAATTAAATTTTCATAAAGTTTAGAAACTAAAATCTAAAATAGTTAAAACTATAAAGTAAAACTACAATAATAATTGTAAGTTATGATCTGAATCAAAACTATTAATTTTTCTTAATAATAATAACAATACTAATAATAATAAGGGTTGCTATAATTTTTTGTCTGCTCTTATTTTTGGTTTTGATCCTTATAATTTAATAAAAACTTGGATTATTTTGCTCTTAAGGAACCAAAACCTATAATTTAAAATTGGATAAGCTAAAAGCAAAAGGAGGACCAGATTAAACCACCAATATTATATTAACCCTAATAATAATAATAATAATAATAATAGTAGTAGTAGGTTTGCAGGGAGAACTGCCCCGAGATCAAGCCCGTAGGGCCAGACCGTAGCCCAAACGGGACAGGCAGGACAAGGACTAGCTTGTTTTTAAAAGGCATTTTTTTTTCCCCTCCCGATATAGAAATTTGAAAGTAATCTACCTCCTTTAGAAAAGAAAATACGGGCATCCACATTAATTCTTCCTGGAATCATCCAAATCTAATGAAAATTAGGGACCCAAGCCTTCGCGAGAAAGAACAAATTAAAATGAAATGGATTACTAAAAAAGAATCAAAGCAATCAAAATAATAGTTTCCTATCCAAACTTTTCATTCAATACATCAATCAGCAAAGAGACTCCAATCCTCCAAATATTCACAAGCTTTCAGACAAAATCAGATCACAGCAAAGCAAAGGATCAAGGGGAAAAAACCAAAGCCTCTAATGATTGGCATGAAAAAATACCTCAGCCACAAAGAAGAAGAATCAGAGCACGAAGGCGGCTTGGAGCGAACCAAGCGACGAGGAAAGACAGATAGGGGAGAAGAATGCGACCTCACGACGAAGGACAAGGGGAGAACGCGACGTCGCAACTATTGTGTGGAGGAAACTGGCAAGGATGGACGAGAGGAGTGGCGTGAACGGGCGAGCGGCGGCGTGGTCGCGAGAGCGAATGGCTGTACGAGGCTGAAGCGAGAGCGAGGGAGTGGGGCCGAGGGAAATAACCTCTTTTTAAGAAGAGCTTTTTTTCTTGACCAGCCAGATGATCGGTCATCGTTGCTAATTAAATAAAGAAAAAAAATAAAATACCCTAAAAACAAAGGAAAAAAAGAAAATGACATTAAAGTCCCACACAAACAAATATACAACAAAAAAGTCTCTTGAAATATGATAATTCTTCTGAAGTCCTAAAGGGATTTGATTGTAATTTTTAGAAAGTTAAAATGACTTCCTTACTCTAGCATATCAGAAATAGAAGGCGCTAAGGTGAGTTTCCAGCGTAGTGTGGCTTTAGCATGGCTGAGAGAGAAGATGTGAAGAAAGATGGAAGGAGCCATTGATAATAAAATATCTTTCTCATTACCATTAGTGAACTCCAAAGAAGTTCCATTTGAATCTCCACAAACTTCAAGTTTGGAAATTTCTTTCCTATCCTCTCCTAGAACATTTTTGTTGACAGATTGATTGTGTTTGGGAATGAGAAATCAAAAAATCGTTTTTGCCTTTGATACTGTAAAGTTTTTGTTTTTGGTCTAAGATGAACAAATAAATCAATGGAAAAACCGTGTTTTTTGTTGATGTGTATTGGTGATTTAAGTTGGGTTTGTAGGATAATCATAGATGCTCTGTTTTTTGGTGTATTATGGTGGTTTTGCTCTGTTTTGGCATTAGTTCAATGGCAAAGGAAGAAAAAGATGAAGGTTAGTGTGGGTAGAAACTCTTAGTACAAAATGAAATATTGTGTTGTCAATCAGGCCGTAATAGTTGTCAATGTGTGCTGCGACAATTGTCAATATTGCTACTTGATTTGTCAATGACAGTTGCATAATTCTTGATGCAGGTTTATATTATTGATGGTGAGTACGCATGGAGAGCATCTATTGTGCTTTGTTCATATAGGAGGAAAGTTTATAAATGATGAAGAAGGTGATATGAGATATGTAGGAAGTAGTGTAAGAACAACAACTATAAATGAGGGAATAAGTTATAAAGAATTGAAGGAAATTATATCATCAATTGTTGGAAAAGAAAGTAACTCATTTCTCTTGAAATTCTCCATTGTGTTTGATAAAAAAAAAAACCATTTATAGAGTTGGCAGATGATGATGGGGTAGAACATTTGATAAAGTTCAATAAAAGAAGTTGTCATGTGTATGTAGAAGAGAATGGAAATAAAGACCACATAGAAGCAATAATGGATAATGCAATGAAGAAGCAAGGTATGTAAGTTTAATTTAACAAATATGTTATTGTCATTTATTGGTATTTTAGTTGTTACTGTCTTGCTACCAACTTGCCAATACATGCACCCTGACTTGTTATTTGGGAAAATGGCATTAAGGTATCACACAAGCATAAATACAGCAAAAAGGTCCCCTGAAATCTCATAATGTTTGTAAAGTCCTAAAGGGACTTGTGTGTAATTTTCAAAATCATCAAATGACACTCTTGCCCTAATTATCAGAAACAAAGACGGTGGGTGAGGAGTTTCCCGCGCAATATGGTTGAGAGAGAAGACGTTGGGAAAGAGGGAAGGAGCCATTGATGATGAAGTATCCTCTCCATTACCATTAGTAAACTCCAAAGAGTTTCTATGTGAATCTTCACAAATCTTCAGGTGTAGAACTTTCTTTCCTCTCCTGTCCTACCTTTCTTGACATATTGTGCATTTGTTTGGGAATGGAAAATCAGAAAATCATTTTTGCCTTTGGTACTCTAAAGCTTTTGTTTTTGGTCTAGGATTCACAAGTTAATCAATGGAGAAGCTGTGTTTTTTGTTGGTGTGTGTTGGTGATTTAAGTTAGGTATATAGGATGATTATGGGTGTTCTATTTTTGGGTTGCTTGTGGTTGGTTTTGCTCTATTCTAACATTAGTTTAGTGGCAAAGGAAGAAGAAGATGAAGGTTAGTGTGGATAGAAACCCTTAGCACGAAATGGGATATTGTGTTGTTAATCAGGCCGCGATAGTTGTCAATGTGCACCGCGACACTTGTCAATATAGCTCCTTGACTTGTTAATGACAGTTGCGTGATTCTTAATGCAGGTTTAAATTACTGATAGCGAGTACATCTGTAAAGTACCTATTTTGCTTTGTTCACATAGTAAGAAAGTTTATAAATGATGGAAAAGATGATATGAGATATGTGGGAGGTAGTGTGAGAACAACAACTATAAATGAGGGAACAAGTTATGAAGAATTGAAGGAGATAATATCATCAATTACTGGAAAAGAAAGCAACTCATTTCTTTTGAAATTCTCAGTTGTGTTTGATAAAAAAAAACTTTTGTAGAGTTGGTAGATGATGATAGGGTAGAACATTTGATAAAGTTCAATGAAGAAAGTAGTCATGTGTATGTAGAAGAGAATGGAAATAAGGACCACATAGAAGCAACAAGGGATAATACAATCGAGGAACAAGATGTGTAAGTTTAGTTTAACAAAACTGTTATTGTCATTTCTTGGTATGTCAGTTGTTACTGTCTTACTACCAACTTATCAATGTATGCACCCTGACTTATCATTTCCTACAGGATTGATCAATCATTTGGAGGTGTCAATGAATTGTCTATGTTTTCACCTACCTTATCTGATGTGATTGGAGAGCTACCATCAATTCCTTATGCTGTTGAAATGATCCCAACATTTACACCACAAATAAATTCCACAAAATGGAAGGATTTTATTATTAGAGAAGGACAAATATTTCCAATGCCACTACTCTCCGAAAAACATTGTACAAGACATGCAAGAACCCAAATCCCAGTTGAGAACATATTGAAGTCAGCTATTTTTTGTATATGAATGTGAAAAGAATATTTTGTAAATGGGTGTGAAAGAATTTTTTTGTAAATAGATACACATCACTGGTTAGTTTTGTAATTACATGCAACTCCTATGTTTTTTTTTTGGGATGGGTTGTGAAATAGGTGTAGTTTCATGTATATGAAGGTGTAAATGAAAGTTGACTATGAATTGGTATGTTAGATTCTACTATCAGTTCAATTGTCATTACCTGCACCCTGCGTTGTCATTAGACCTGTTATGACTTGTCAATCATTGCACTATGACTTGTCAATAATATGAATTCAAGTAACATAACCTTTTTTTACCATCAAATGATATTTTCAATCACTCTGTCATATTATATTTTGGTTATATTGTCATATATAATCATTATTAATGAAGTGTTAAAAACTTACCTCTTCCTGTCCCTTGTCAATGGTCGCACTATGACTTGTCAATAGTAGCACACTGACTTGTCAATGGAGCTCTATGTCTTATTAATGAGAACATTGTCCCTTCCCAATGGTGGCACTATGACTTGTCAATAGAGCACTGTGACTTGTTAGTGAGAACAATGTCCCTTGTCAACGGTTATACTATGATTTGTCAATAGAGCACTGTGACTTGTTAGTCAGAACACTTTCTTGTCGATGGTCATATTATGACTTGTCAATGGAGCACTGTGACTTGTTAGTGATAACACTTCCTTGTCGATGGTTGCATTATGACTTGTCAATGGAGTACTGTGACTTGTCAATAAGAACACTGTCCTTTGTCAATGGTTGCAGTATGACTTATCAATAAAGTACTGTGACATTATTTATATAGACATCTTTAGTTGTGAAAATTTTGAATATCAATTGTTAATATCCATACATTCATTTGTTATGAAATTCTTATATCACTTGTCATTAAATTAGAATATTTTATAAAACACTGTCCCTTAATATTTCCGCACATATAAAATAGAAATGTAATTAAAAATGTAATAAAACCCTAAGAAATTAGTATTATAACATGTGATGACAAAGGTAATAATATTATAAGTATAATTTGATCAGTTTGTTACAAAATGACTTGTTTACCAATCATCTTACAACACATATCATGGGCTAACAAAACAAAAAATTAATAAACTACTCTGTCTCCTCTTCTTGCTCTTGTTGTAGTCGGATAACATCGACATTCCTTCACTCCCATGTTTATTATTTGGATGGGTAACCAACCACCACAAACAGCCAACTTTCAACTCTTGTAGTTCACTATTGAAGTATCGTGGCATTGTATATCTTGCATCATCACGAACAGTGCCATCCCACTCTTGTAGCCATGAGAGAACATGAACTCTACATGAATCACTACCAAGGAAATTGAATATGTTAGCACCATGCAATTGTTATTGTGAACAAAAACAACATAACACAATCAAACAAAACAACTACACTCACGTATTATTTTGCACATAAACTTTAGCCCATTTCATTTCGTTGTCAATTTTGTCCTCATTGGCAAACAATTCTGGCCTAACAGCACACAACATCGTATAGAAACAGTTCATCTATAAAAAAAAACACATAATCAAAAGGCTTCATTAACAATATAGCATCTAGTGACAAGTAACACAGCATCTAGTGACAAAAAACACAGCATCCACTAACAACTAACAGAGTATCCAGTGACAAGGGACAGAGCATCTAGTGACAAGTAACACAGCATCCACTAACAACTAACAGAGCATCCAGTGACAACTAACAGAGCATTCAGTGACAAGTAACACAGCATCCACTAATAACTAACAGAGCATCCAGTGACAACTAACAGAGCATTCAGTGACAAATAATAGAGCATTCAGTGACAACTAACAGAGCATCCAGTGACAACTAACAGAGCATTCAGTGACAAGTAACACAGCATCCACTAACAACTAACAAAGCATCCAGTGACAAGTAACACAGTATCTAGTGACAAGTAACATTAGATAAGGTAGGTGGAGATATAAACAATTTATTTATAGTGTAGGTGTTGGGATCATTTCAACAGCACAAGGAATTGATGGTGGCTCTCCAATCACATCAGATAAGGTAGGTGGAGATATAGACAATTCATTGACACCTTCAAATGATTGATCAATCCTACCGGAAATGACAAGTCAGGGTGTATGTATTGACAAGTTGGTAGTAAGACAGTAACAACTGAC